GATAGCAATTGTTCACGGTTCCAGAAAGGAAAATCTTTATTTTGAATGTTTTTAGTTGGAGTTTAGATAATCAGTGTTCTAGTAATTAAGCGATATCATAAATCCTTCATATGTAGTTGTCACATTTTTCCAGCTTTGTCATTTTGTTTCTTTTAAGTTTATAGAGCAGAGTCTGCACATCCATGGAGGAGTTTAACCATTCCAGGGTATCTGAATTTGTGTTACTCGGACTTACTGATTCCTCTGAGTTCCAGATCTTCTTCTTTGTGGTGTTTTCCATTTTCTATTTAATGACTATGTTGGGAAACTGCCTGATATTTCTCACCATCCTATCCACCTCACACCTCCACTCCCCCATGTACTTCCTGCTCAGCAACCTGTCTCTCATTGACATGTGCCTGTCCTCCTTTGCCACGCCAAAGATGATCACGGACTTCTTTGCTCAGCGTAAGACCATCTCTTTTGAGGGCTGCATTTCTCAGACCTTTTTTTTTNTTTTTTTTTGCACCTTTTCACTGGGACCGAGATTGTACTGCTGATCTCCATGTCTTTTGACAGGTATACTGCCATATGTAAACCTCTCCATTATTCAACAATTATGAGCCCCAGGTTGTGTGTTGGGCTCGTGGTAACTTCTTGGACAGTGGGATTCCTGCATACAATGAGCCAGTTAGCTTTTACCCTCTACTTGCCCTTCTGTGGTCCCAACGTTGTAGACAGTTTCTTCTGTGACCTTCCATTGGTCATCCAGCTGGCTTGTATAGATATATATGTTCTTGGGATCTTCATGATCTCAACCAGTGGTGTGATTGCTCTTATAAGTCTTCTGCTTTTGTTCACCTCCTACGTCATTGTTCTTATCACGCTCAGGGGCCACTCCCCCACAGGATCGTCTAAGGCTCTTTCTACCTGTACTGCACATTTCATAGTTGTGTTAATGTTCTTTGGGCCGTGCATCGTCATTTATGTGTGGCCTTTCACAAACTTCCTGGTGGACAAAATTCTCTCCGTTTTCTATACCATCTTCACCCCTTTTCTGAATCCACTTGTCTATACTTTGAGAAACGAGGAAATGAAAAATGCAGTGAAAAAAAA